AACTAGGCGATGAACTATATGAACAAAATACTTAATGATATCTATTATTAATAATGAAGATATTATAAGAAATAAAAATAAAAAGCACAAAAAAATGATAAAATAGAGAGAATTTTAATGAAATAAAATGAATGCCAATATTATTTATATATAGTATTACTATAATAATGTATTATCGGTTTACGTATATTTTTTTTAATTTAAAAAATTTCAATTTATTTCTCATCATTATTATTCTTATTGTTATTAATAATAATAAAAAATTGTTTTTATTACAAATACATTATTTCTGATTATTTATATTATTTTATTATCATTATTCTAGTTTTTATTTATATAATTTTATTCATTCATTTATAATAATTATTTATTTTAAAAATACAAATAATAATTTATTTTATTATAAATATAATAATAAGTAAAACAGAAATAATAATAATAAATATTACAATAAACAAGCAAATTATGATTACAATTAATTTTGACAATAAATGTTGTTTCATATTTTGGCTAATGTTAATGGTTGAGTGCATTTTTCAATTTGAAAATTATTATTACAACAAAATTTATCGTTTCTTAAAAAAGGATTTTTTATATTTTGATATATACTTTGTTTGAAAAATGCTTAGGAAATGTCAAACACAACACACAACTTACAGATTTCATATATTATACAATCATACAGTATATATATCATTATATATATATATATGTAAACAGAAATTATTTTATAAAACAAAATTATCTCAAAATTTTATTTAAGTCAAACATATTTTTATTTAAAACAGAAGAAAATCCATTCTCAACATTCTTTACAATAAAATTATATCTATAAATAGATAATTTACAATAATTTACTAATATTTTTTTCTAATATAAACGAAAAAGCGTAAAATTATAGTTGAAAATAATGATTAAACTAACAATATATATATAATAATAATAAAAATATTAAGAACGGTATGAGTGATACAAAATGCAAACATAATTAACGTGGTTTGGATTGGATTGGATTGGATTGGATCGGATCGGATCCGGGACACAATGCTTAATATAAATGTCTCATTATTATAATCATAATTATTATAAATCTTTGCTCTCTTAACATAATTATATTATTAATAATACTAACTGTGTGTATATGTCGTGAATGTGTCGGTCGATTGGGTGAGTGTTTGACCTAACATTAAGTTTTCACATATCAAACAAATTTAATTGAGAGCTAACACTTAGAAAAAAAACTAAATACATAATACAATTATATATTATTTTTTGAGACAAACATTAAATTCAAACAACTAAAGGCAACAAAAAGCAGACAAATAGAAAATATGAGAGAAAATAGAAAAAAGACGAGAATGAGAGAGAATGAGAGAGAGAGAGAGAGAGAGAGAGAGAGAGAGAGAGAGAGCAATCACTCAAATAAATAACAACATTCATAACAATTGTAAGCAAGAATAGTAAAGACACAAAACATCACTGAGTAATGCATACAATGTTTGACCGATTCAGTCATATCTTGCATTTCTTCACATCCGGGAATAGAAAGAAAGAAAGAGAGAGAGAGAGAGAGAGAGAGAGAGAGAGAGAGAGAATGTTTTAAATGATTATTTGTAGAAACAGTGCAAAAATAGTGTAGTTATCTCTTTAAACAATTTTGGTAACAAAAAAACATCAGAAAAGCAGAAAAAGTGTCGAACAAAATATTATGTGTTTTAAGACACAAAATAAAGATTAGAATGAAATAAATTTTATGAGAAAATTATAGTAAATGATATATAATATTAAAATCAGATATAATGTATACTGAAAAATGGTCAACATTTATAATATTTATTTATTACACATATTTAATATATTATATCTGCATATTTTTCTCTGTCTTTAATCAGAGTAATTGATGACATTTTGTATTATATGAAAAAGTAATGCCACTAAACAATGTGTGTGGTATTCACTGTCAGTGCCTCTCTTTCTCTCTCCCAGTGCTCACAGCTATTAAAAGTACAAACACTGTGAAAGTATATATAAATTGGTATTGAAGTGACTAAAGAAGCCGTTCTTTTCATTTGCAAAATTATTATTCATTATATTTAAGAAAAAATTTAAAACCTATTGTATTGTCATCTCTTATATTGTGGTCATTACAACATTTGCTTCACGTTTTTATTCATTATTTTCCATTATCTTTCGTTTCTTTACTAATGTGAGTAAACTATATTCACAAAAACTCAAAGCTTTGATGAACTATAATATGTAATCATAATAATGTTAGATTTCCAACAAAAATGCACAAATAATCACTACTGTAATTAAGGAGAGAGAGAGAGAGAGAGAGAGAGAGAGAGAGAGAGAGAGAGAGAGAGAGAGAGAGTACTAGTTTGAGTGTTGATAATAGCACTGAGCGCGAACCCGACCGTCCATTGGTTTTGCACAGATATTATACAACTTATTATATAACATTAGAAATACAGTATATATTGGAAGGCATTGAATGGCAATACAGTTTGCATTGCATCCCCCGCTTCAATAACCTTCTCATACAATAACATATATCTATATAAATACTATGAATATACTGTATATATATATAAAACATTATATTGAATATATACTAGTATATCGTTTTGCTTTTTTGTATTGGAAACTTATTTTCTACATAAATACATAGTTATTTATTTATCTATATAATTAAAGTATGACTACATTAACTTAAAAATGTTAAATTTGGAAAATATATCGCAGTCATAATATTATTATTACCAATGATAGTATTGTTATTAAAATTTTTTATTTTCAAAATATTAATATTTAGAAATAATAATCATAATCATAAAATTATTATTAAAAACATTTTCTGATGGCAACAATAATTTCTCATGAAATACATAGAAATATAATATAATATAATATATATAAATATAAGAAATAAGAAAACTTTCCTTTAAGTTGTTTTACAATATAATCTTTTTTCTCTCAATCTTTAAAATTATTTTTTGACTTTTCATAGGATAATAATAATAGACAACAGAGTGAAGGCAAAGGCCGGAGCCAAAGGCCGGATACACTCTAATGATAGTTACTATAGTATAGTATATACTATACTATACTATACTATACTATACTATACTATACTATATATTAGTAATAGTAGTCTTATTATTAGCAAAAACAGTCTTTAAAATAGAAAGAGAAAAAAATGCTTTTTTATAGGATTTTTAATTTTCAAAAGTGTAGGAACTTTCTGTCAGTTAGTCATTGAAAGGCTATAAATACTTAGGAGTCGTGTTTGTAATCATAAGAGCGTTGTTTTCAAAAGAAAATCATATTTTCTTTTCGGAATTTTTTCACATTTTTTGTTATTTTCGATGATTTGTTGTATTAGTTGTCTATCATTTGCTTATTATTCACTAATTATTTGATATATATTTTTCTTTTTTCAAAATAATTGTCTCAGAGTTTTCTTTTTGGCTAAACTTTCAAATAATAACTAATTATTAGTTTATTGTGAAATTTCTTTTATATAAAAAACTAATGTATTTCATAATACTGTATAATGTAATTCATTCATTCATTATACCATAAATTATTACAATAGTCTATAAATATTTATCAAAATATAAATGTTTTAAAAATGAGATATTTTATAACAATAATGTAATAATAATATTAAATTATTAATGTAATAAAAATAATTTTCAACGACATGTTTTAACTAATTAGCAAAACTTCAATTAATAATAACATAATTAGTCAAAAGTAATGAATTTGATGGAATAAAACTTCATTAATTAAATATAAATCTAAAATTAATTCATTTTGCAATAAATATTGACTTAAATGTAATTATATATAATTATAAAAGCATTCTCATAATTGCAATACACAAAGTAATAAAATTAATAATAATAAAATAATAAAATAATAATAATTATATACAATAAATTAGTGAGCGATTGAATCATTTAATGTTTTACCATTAATTCATTTTATTTATTTAATTAATCGCTTACTATGATTTAATTACCACAACTTTGCATTTAATAAATAAATAAAGATAAAATTTAATAATTTAATAATTAATTTAATAAAATAAAATTGTTTTTTATAATTACAATCATTCAAAATTATACAAAAATATAATGTATAAGGAATTTATTAAACAAAATTAAATAATTAAAAAATAATATAATAAAATTAAATTAAAATGATATTATAATATAATAATGATGGTATGATTATAATTAATTAAATTAAAAAATTATAATAAAATGATACTAAAATAAGTGCAAATTACAATACAATTTAATAAAATAATAAACAGTATAATTCATTAATAAACTAATGAAATACTTAATAATAATTAATAATAATAATAATAAATTGAAATAAAGTAAAAAATTAATAATTGATTTAGTTGTAGATTTTATACACGTTTTCCCTCTTTAATATTTAATATTTTCAATATTATTATTATTATTATTATTATTAATGTTAAAATTCAATTTATTTGACAAAAATTTATTCACAAGTATTTATATAAATATATACTGTATATAATATTTATATATCAATATATATATCATAGATATAACACATGACACACTTTAACAGTGCAATAGTTAGGAACTATGTTTAAGGGAAAAACAAATATTATTTAAACATTAAATAGTGTCTACTATTACAACAACTTAATGAATATGATTTGGTTTATTAAAATTGTTTATATTTATGATAAATATATATAATTTCCACTAAAAATTCATTAATTTATGTAAATTACAGTATATTTATAATACGTGTCATATATTATATGTTTGAGAGATTCAGTCGATGTTTATAAAACAATAGGTGTTTCAAGACTGATGTGCCGTTTTGTTTGTCTCGCATATGATATCCGTCACAAATAGTTGCACACATCGCTCGGGGATTAGGGGAAGTCACAGACACACAGATACGCGGTTGATATGTTGTTAAATGAAATCATTTTTATTTCCTACCTGTGCTGTTGGCAGCCGTTCCATACATGTTTGGGTGCATGAATGCTCCGGCAGCAGTGTAATAGTTTTGTAGTCCCGGATACATGTAGTTAAGTAGACCCGAGTTGTCGTTGGCCAAGTCCGACGTGTTGGCCATTCCTCCACTGCCACTACTGGAGCTCGAGTTACTGTCTTTACAGTTAAGATTAGGTGTCGCACTCTTTTCAGGTGTTTTTTGTTCGTTAAAGTTCTTATTATTGCCGCCATTGACTGTCATATCGGACAGAGTGAGTCCGGCAGGCATTGCACCGGACAGACCCATGAGCTGCAACTGTTGCATCAAATTTGCCGCAGATTTTGATCGGTTATCATTCGAGTCTGAAGCTATGTTTGAAGTATTCATATTGTTTTGAATACTCGTTGGTATCACTGGAAGCTCAATGCCTGATGCTATGGGAAAGTCAGAGCTATTATCGTCCTGACCTTCAATTAGTTTTTTCACTGAATCGATGTGAAGCTTAAGATTTTCAATGTGTTTCTTAGAGAACAAGTGGTCCTGCATTGCTGTCGATGAAAACTTTAGGTTGTATTTAATGCCACATATTTTGCACTCTTCTATAGGTTTGGTGTTTGTTTCAAATTCTTGTCCAAAAGTCTTGGCAAACGCCAGTTTAGCCTTTTTTTCCTTTGCTCTGGCGTTTTGAAACCATACCTGAACCACACGCTTAGGCAGACCTACCTCTCGCCCTAAGCACTCGCATTCAGCCATTGATGGTGTCTTATAGTCAGCAAAAATTGATTTCATAACTTTTAGCATAACTGTTGTCATTTGAGTGCGATATCTCTTATTTGAGTTTGAATTTGAATGAGAGGTCATATTTGAATTAGGATTTCTGTTCATCGCTGAGGCAGACGATGAAGTGGTAGATCCAGGAGCTGGAGAGGTTGGGTTTGATTCATAGGAAAAATAAAAATCAAATTCATTTTCATCGGAAGAATCTGAATCTTCGCCATCAGATCGCGTGTCATCAAAGCCTTCGTCATCGTTCGTCGAAAATCTGAGCGGTTGTGACAAATCAACTGGTTTTGAGAGATCTAATGGTGCGCTTTCACCTGTTGTTAGACCACTTGCCTCAAAGGCGGCCTTCATTTTAAGGCTGAGATCAGCGGGAATAGTGCTCTGACCATCAGTTCCGGGAATGTTAAGCTCTTCTAAATATTTTTTGAACGAGTCTTCGTAATACTTTTTCATTGTTGATTGCAATGCCTCAGCAGTTAGTCCACCGGTGGCTGAGTTTCTCATAATGTCTTCATTAGTATTTGTTGGCGAAGAGTCTGTCATATCTGAAGGATCGCCATCAGGTAAGGCGTCAATATTGATGTCTCCTTTAGTGTATTGGTCGGCGTGACGAGTGGCCAGATGTGATTCAAGAGCAGATCTGGCTTTGAAGAGAGCGCGACAAAAGGGACATCTCTTATGTATGACCTGTTGATGAGCGCGAAACTGTCCCTTCCTTTCTCTAGCTCTGGTATTTTGAAACCAGACCTGAACGACACGCTTTTTGAGACCCACTTCTTTGGCAATGCTTTCTAACATTTTTCTGCTTGGATTGGATTCAATTTGATACTTCTGGTAGAGATAATCCAATTGTTCCGGTAATATAGTAGTACGGAGTCTCTTGTCTCGCGGCTGATCACTGGAAGTGCCGATACCACTGAGTGAGTCGTAATCGTGCGAATCCTCGTCTTCCGGTAGTTTGCGTTTAACCGCCTGTTGTTGCGATTGCTGTGCTATATATGTACTCAAAGGGTTGCTTGAGTTAGGAGACGTCGCTGTGTTAGTCTGTGGGCTCTGTTGTGCCTCGAATTGTAAGATTCCGAATGGAGATGACGGCGGAAAACTTGGGAACAGATTTGGATTCATCAGATGAACCAATTGGTGTTCTCTCCATAACTCATACCTATTGAATACTAAACTACATTTCTCACAGCGATAAACACCACTTTGTTGTTGTTGTTGTTGTGATGACTGTTGAGACTGTTGTGGTGTCGGTGTTGATGGCGATTGATGGGCCAACTTGTCTGGTGTGGCAGTTATGCGCCCACTATCTACTGGTGTTGGGGTAGTAGAGGGGGTCTCACGACTGACACCGGGAGAAGTAGATTGGGCTCGAGATTCAGCGGCAGCCCTGAGCTGAGCAGCCAATGGATTCTCATCCTTAAAACAGGCGCTCTTCTGATGCTTAATTAGTTCATAATATCTTTGGAAGACTTGCATACATTTCTTGCACTGATAGTTAAGACCCGGAGTCCGTTGGAAACGTCCGGAGCCGTCATCTTCTTGTGGAGTTTGCGGTTGATTTTCATAGACTTTACGCGCCTTTTGTCTGGCATTTTGAAACCAAACAACAATAACTCTCGGACTGAGATTCAATAGTTTTGATAAATACTCCAAATCATCATCTTTTGGATAAGCATTGGATTCAAAAAATTCTTGCAATACTTTTATCTGATAATCAGTAAATCGGGTTCTGTTAGCTCTCTTACCGGATGAGCCACCACTGCCTGAGTTGCCATTGCCTGAGGTGTTGGGAGTATTTGAGTTTGAGGCAGATATTTGAGATCTATGGGCATCGAGTGCCATCTGAAGCGGACCCGAACCCAGTGGTTGTCCCAGAGATGCGGCAAATCCGGGCAAACCTGAGAATAGAGAAGCAGTGCTCATATCGGCTGCAGATTGAGAGCTCATCGATGACTCAGAAGTGTGCGGACTATTTGTGTTGGTATTGAGCATAGCTTTAGTTAATTCAAACTCTTGTTGTTGTTGTTGTTGTAATTGTATTTGTTGTTGAAGTTGTTGTTGTTGTTGTTGTTTCTGAAGTTGCAAAATATGATTTTCAAACTTTTCTTGAATGCTTTCCGATTCACTTTTAAATAAATTCGTTTCTTTCTTCTTATTGTCGCAAATCTCATCGTCTGATGTCTCGCCATAATCAGTGTCTTTGGTCGATGAAGAAGACTTCATGTCAGCCATGACTGCAATTGCGATCTCTGACTCGCTTTGGTTAGTATTGTCTTTATTTTCAATGTTTTCGTCTTCTTTCTTGAGATCATTTAAAGTAATTATTTTGGTTTCGCCGGTCTTTTCATATTCTTCGAGATTGAAGAAAGTCGACGGAGGGTTATTGAAGTTATAGGGACTGTCTTTATTGCGCTGTCGCTCTTTAAACAGTGTATTTCTGAACCAATGTTTAATCACTTTGAGAGGCAAACCTGACTTTTCAGACATTTCTAGCAGTTGTTCTTCAGTCGGAGAGTTATTGATATCAAAGTATTGTCGGAGGACTTTGAGCTGTTCGTCACTGATTCGAGTCCGGGCTCTCTTCTGTTGCTGTGCGGCGGCATTCAGTTGTTGCTGTTGTTGTTGCATAAGCTTCTGTTGATTAGCAAAAAAGTTTTGGTCATTGTTTGGCATCGGACTGGCAGAAGGTGTCGATTGATTCGGTGGGTTAACCATTCCTGCGGCGCCCGGATGTTGGAATGCGGCCGCAATCATAGGGTCGAGATGTGGGGACATCATTACGGGTATTAACGGTGGATGTAATCCCATTGCAGCGAAAGGCATATTCATATTCATATTCATACCCATATTCATAGGCATTCCCATTCCCGCCAAACCCATACTCATTAATAACTGACTGAACTGTAGATGTGCTGCCATTTGGTTGGCCACAGACATATCTGCCTGAGCTGGTGTTGAGCCACTGTTAACCATATTGTTTGCCATTGAAAGCGGCGGTGTATTTGATGGGTTGGTATTAACGCCCGAAGCTATTTGTTGCATATCATTAGCATTGATCTGATCAGTTGAGGCCTCATTTTCCTCTTCAAGAGCACACTTACGTTCGTATTCATTACGATAATCGTCAGCAAATGTTTCGACTATATCTAAGGGAACCACATCTTTATGAATCTCCTCCCTGTGCGCCTTAAGCACCCAAATCGATGAAAACTCTTTCCCGCATTTATCACATTTCGATCGATTAATTTCCGGCAAATTATTTTTCAAATCACTCTTTTTTACCTCAGACTCGTTGGTCTCAGTTTTGTTGGCCACGGAGTCACTGTTGGCTTCGGTAGCATTTGTCTCATTGTTTTGGGTACCAGTTGTTGTCGGTGTAGTAGTATTAGTGTTAGTGTCGGTGTCTTTCTTTGGTTCGTTACTATTGTTGTTATCTTTTTTGACTCTTTTTTGGTGACATTCATTGAATTGCATAACTATCTCAAAACCCCACGTTTCGAGTAAATGTTTATAAAGCGGTGGTTTGCTTCTACAGACGGGAGCATAACTGGCAAACTTTGGTGCTTTAATGCCGGAACTGTTAGACTGTGTATTCAATTGAGATGTCTGAGCAATGTTTTGTTGTTCATTGGATTGAATGGGCGATTGACTTCTCAATTGATTAATAGTCGACTGTTTAGATGTGCTATTATTTGGAGGACTAAATAGACAACAGAGTTGTTGGTGTTGTAACTGTGCCTCTTGTGATATGAAAGCTGATCCACATCTTTGGCATTGAAATGGTGACGAACCCAACAATAAGTTGTGGCCATTATTGCCGGTAGTCATGGCTAATGCCTGTTGTAGTAGAGCTGCCTGTTGTGGATCTGATACGTTGAGTGCCATAAGTGATTCCTGAACTCCTTTATTAGGTGTAGTGCTCGGAGAGGGTGTACTCGGCGTACGTTTAACAATATCGGCGCTCATCTTTGGTGGTGATGTCGTCACCGAAACACTAGGAATGCCTGAAGTAGGAGTACTCGGTGTAGTCATTGTGACCGCAGTTTCACTGGTATTGTCTGGTCTTTCAATTAGGGGAACACTCAGATCAATCTGACCGGTCAGAGCCAAGTCATGTAGTTTTGATGCTTTCGTCTGATGTAATACAGAGCGCACGTGTATATCAAGAGTTGTACCTAAATTGTAGGCAACTTTACATATATTGCATTTGTAGGGCTTCTTATCCATATCACTGCTGTTGATAGCATTAGACAAAGCGGTCACAGTTTCGGTGATCGGCGTCGGGTTAGAAACGGTGGCCACAGTGGACATGACTACAGAACTTATGTTTTGAGAGTTGCTTTGGTTGTTGGCGTTGTTTGCGTTGTTGGCACTAATATTCATCTTTTCTTTATCTAATTGTTTGAGTTTGTGTAAGTGAGACACAGAGTTATAGTGAACTAATAGTATATTCTTCTGAGTAAACGATTCCTTACAGATATCGCATTTGTACGGCCGGTTTGGATCCAAATACTTCTCCATCGGATAACTCAGTTTTTCTCCCTTTCGGTGCAAAAGTGTCTTATTATGTGAAGTGAGATAACTTTGTCGCGTAAATGCAACCCTACAGCGATGGCACTTATATTTGCGGGTCGGGTCGTTATAGCTGTCCTCTGCCACCGCTTGAGAGTTAAGAAAGTCTTCCAATGAGTTCGTCGGATGATTACTAGCAGCTAAACCTTCCTTATTGTCACTCAAATCAGTCATATCTTCGTCAATGTCTTCACTAATAGGATTAATAGCGTTAGCTATAACTAAATCCATGGCTTCGTCGTCAGTGTTCGAGTCATCCATTCTATTGGACTCTTTCTTAAGCAATTCGGTGGTCGACGGGTCAAGAATACCGCCGCCATTGCGACCGGTCATCAAAAGTGGATTATTTATAAGACTATTCTTATAAGTCTCTAATTCTTCTTCATTCATCTCTGTATGAGTGGTTCCGATGTGTTTGTGAAGCGCTTCCATTGATCGGAAACTACGGCCACAAAACACACACTGAGTGGCGGCTCTTATTAAATGGTATTGAGAGTGAAGTTGCAGTTTTTCTACAGTCTTGAATGCGAGACTACATTGCGAACATCGGTAGCGGTAGACGTGTCGGTCAGATACAGCTGCGCCCGAAATCTTTCCTTTGAAAGTATGTTGTTCTTTGAAGTGCAGTTGTGTTGCGGCAATAGTCTTAAACATCTGACCACAGCCTCGCTTCCAGCACTGGTAACCACTATTTGAGTTACCAATGGTAGCGCCAGTCCTTGCATTGGGAACTACATCAGTGGTCATCTTGAGGTGACCCTCGCTGTTAATATGAGTAAATAATTCGTCGAGTGTTAAGAAAATTTTGGGACAACCGGGACATTGAAGACTCTCTGTTAAAGAATTAGTGTCAAAGAGCTCGTCCTCACAGATCTTGGAACCGCTATCACCGGAATAATCACTTTTGGCATCAATTTCTCTTTGTTCAAAAGTTTCGTCATTTGGAGACCATTGAGGCGAACAGTTTTGTCGAATAGTTTGATGTGACTGTTGTTTGTTTACAACAACCTCTTCGACTAAAAGCATCAGTTTTGGGAGTCCTTCTTGTTTGACATTATGGACATCAATTAAATGTGACTCTAGTCTACACTTTTCATGGAAGCCCTCCTGACATAAGGGACACAACATATGCTGTTCAACGGCACCGACAGCAGCACTGGTCGGTGTTGTTGTTGCTGTTGTTGACTGACTTTGTTGTTGTTTGGAATGTGTGGACACGATATGCATTTGTAGTCTTACTTCAGAAGTGTGCGAATAATTACAAAACGGACAGAAGTGCAACCCTTCAGACATTTCATTATTCATTTTAGCGCTCATTTGTGCCACAACTGCCTGTTGTTGTTCAAGAAGAGCATTCTTCAGCATTGAATCGTTCATTGATTCGATAGTTGTTCCCAATGGAAGAGATCCAGAGATATCATCGTTTGTGTTATTGTCTGTTAAAATAATATTCAATTATTTTGCAATTTATTATTAAAAAACAAAATAATTTGACGGCTGAAGACTAAGTCAAAGAGGCTCTCACTTATCGGTAAATAAAAGCTTTTATTGCATTAAAGAGAGAAAGAGAGAGAGAGAGAGAGAGAGAGAGAGAGAGAGAGAGAGAGAGAGAGAGAGAGATCCAAACAAATAGCAGTAAATAGTTATATGAATGTCATGAATGCATTAATTTTTGTTTTTGTGTCTTAAAATGTCTCATCAAATCATTTATATATTAGTGTCGCTATAAGAGTGTCAAAGAGATTTTCTGGCATTTTTTTGACTGACTTTATGCTTAATTTTCTTGTTTTCATAACATAAATAAATAGTTGCTTTTGATCTCAATTTAATTTGACAAAAATACATATAAATTGCTTTAAAAAATCTTTTATGCAATAAAATATTTGTTTCAACTAAACTAAAAAATAGTTGTATTAAAAATCGCGAGACTGTTATAAGCAAATGGAAAAACAACTAAAGGCTATAAGATTTTTTGGGTTTATTTTTGATGAAATGGTTGTTTCAAATCAACACATCTATCTATCTTTAGGTTTGCCTTTGATTTTATTGCATTTCCCTTTGTGTGTCAAATAATTTGACTACATTTATATGCATTATATTATATATATATAGTATATGTATGTTTAATATATATAAATTTATGGATACAAACTAAGAGTAAGTTTATATGAAAAACAATTTTCTAATTCAAAATATTCGTCAAACATTACTACTACTACTACTACTACTACTACTACTACTACTACTACTACTACAGTACATACAACTGATAACACAAGTCAACGAAAAATGAAAAATAAATAAAATAAAATAAATTTACTTCTCTTTTCTTCTCATTTTACTATATATTTCTCTCTATATATTATAATAATGAAATGCAAACTAAAAAGACAGGTCTTCTAAGATATTCATATATAACCAAAAATATATACTTTTTTGAAAGCAGTAATACTGCCATTCATATTATGTCTGCTATTAGAGGCTTCTCTCTCTCTCTCTCTCTCTCTCTCTCTCTCTCTCTCTCTCTCACTCTCACAGTGTCTCTCGATATAAGCAAAAGGCATCAACTTTTTAATAGAAAGCATTTCATTATAATTTCATTTTTTGCTCGCAAGCAATATATCAATATTAATAACATTAAAATTTATTAAAAAATATTATTTTCTAAATTTATTCAGCTTTTCATATATACTTTGCTTCTTAAAACTTACTAAAAATCTAATATTAATATTTTGATTAAAAAATTTGTATAAAAAACAAATTAAAATATATGATAACTTGCATTAATATTGAAAATATAGTATAATATAAATAAAATATAAGAAACAAGTATTGATTGCTTACCGCTTTCAAAGACCACTTTGTCGTTTGGATCCAATTCCTTGACCTGAAATAATTCTCTGATCTCTTCTTCTGAGTCTTTCATACCAATAGATCCGGTCTGTTGTTGTTTGAGTTGTCGGATGCTTTCATTTCTGATGTGTTTAATTGAGTTGATGTGTTGTACGAGTGATATCTTAGTGCGCGCCGGATGGTTACAAAGGACACACATGTAGTACTTGACTCCCCCCGACTTGACCAGTGTTTCGGCCAACTGTAAGTGTAGGAACACTCGGGAACAGGCGTCGTGTCGGGTGTTGGCGGTATGTAATTGCAGTTTATGTATAGAATTGGTGTAATAATCACAAACATTGCACCGAACCTGAACCGGGTTCGAGACATTCACATACTTGAGCTTCCATTCAGACTGATTGCCGCCTTCTTTAATGTGATTCACGTGTTGTAATCGTTGCAAATGTTTGTCTGTCTTGCAATGCAATTGAAAGTTTGCTTTTAAATTAGTTTTATAGGAACACAATTTGCAAATATAAGAGCCGCCGACTGCCATCAAAACCTCGTCCTCACGCTGTCGGGTGCGGTCACACTGGATGTGTTGACTCAGACCTTCTATTGAATCGCTGGAATAGATGCCACAAACACAACATTGAAATAATCGACACGTGTCGTCATATGGAACGTTATGTAATCCCATGGATGGGTCCGGATGCTCGATATCGTAGGTTGGCTGAGATCCCGTACCACTGATTCGGGCCACCGGAGACTTATTGCCGGGACTGGGGGTTGGCTGTAATTGTTGTTGTTGTTGCTGCTGTTGCATCATAGCTGCTGCCATAGCTCTATGTTGTTGTTGTTGACTGGCCATCATTAGCAATGCGTGGTTGTATGCCATGTCAGCCAGTGCTGCTTCGGGCTGCAGGTTATCTCCCGGACCAGTTGGCTGACCGGCTGTAAGTCCAGCGGCCGCAGCAAAGAGTCCCGGATGGAATTGGAAGAGCTGTTCGGGTGTAATCATACCCGCCTGTTGTAAAGCCGACAGTTGCTGCATATGCGACACATTTTGTTTCAAAACCATTAGATTGTGTGTATGTTTTTCACTTGTCATATGAATTCGTAGATTTCGGGCCACATTTGTCTCATAATTACAGACATCACACCTCCACGTGGCCTTCTGTTTGGTTGTTGTCGGCGTTGACTGTGTGCTGCCATTGTTGACCACTTGTTGCGCTTTAGGTGTCTCTTTCGGTACCGACGGTGCCGGTGATGTCGCACAGGACGACGCACTTGTAGTTGTTGTAGGAACTGAAGAAGTAGTTGGTTGGACACCTGTAGCGTTAGCGGCCACTGCAGCGGCCAATGCTTGGGATTGCAGCAGATGTTCGGCCGGAATGTTACCGTTTTGTATTTCTTGTACATTATTAATGTGTTTATCTGATTGCATATGAATACTTAGGTTGCCTTTAGTTGTGGTTGAGTAGTTGCACACTTCGCACCGGTAGGGCTTATAGCCACACGTGTAGGTCTCTCCGCGTGCCAGTCGTGGGTGCGGTTGGTTCGCCAAACAGTAGATGCAATTCATTTCATTTTCTGGATGTTTTTCTTTCATATGTATTTCAAGTGTCTCCTGATATTTGTAATGCCAATTGCATTTCGGACACTTCAATGTCTTACATGAGTTGCGTGAATGCATTGCTGTCATGTGACCACCTAAAGAGCGCGACGAACCCAACATTAGATCACATTTAGGACACTCAACGCCATTGGTCTTACCGTCGGGATGTTGACTGCACAGCAATGGCGACGCATTCGTCGGACTTCCCGATGGATATGGCATTTGTGATTGCAATGGTGTGGTCGATGTCATTGGGCTTTTGGGTGATGTTGTCTTCGATGGTGACGGTGACCTATGAAATGGTTGATGAGTGGCTGATAATTGACACATCTGTTCAATCTGTTGTTGTTGTGCCGCAGCCGCCGCTGCTTTCGCTATCTTTTCTAGATTTGCCAAATCAGCCAATTCTGGTGCAAATGCTGTGTCCGCTTCTGTTGTTTCCCGAGGCGTTGGCGTAGTTGTGTCCATCGGTTCTGTCGACTCGTAGTGATGGTCGTCACCATTCTTTGGCAGAATAAAATTTAAAGCAGAGGAATGAGATTCAAAGGGTTTAATGTCCGGCGCGGAAGTGACTGGACTGGTGAGCGACGAAACCAATGAGTCAGTACTGAGAGATGCTTTTCTCATCGCAGCCTGAGTTGTGACGAGTGTTGAAGTGCCGGCACTGGTAGCTGTAGTTAAGGAACTTTGTGTACATGAGTTCTGTCTCATAGCTGCAGCCGCGGCCATCAAAAGCCGTTGTTGTGATTCCAACTGTTGCTGCAATTGAACCGGCAGTTCATTAGGTGTGAGTGCGGGTGCCTTATGTCTGGGTTCTAGAAATGATAGTAAGGGCTCCTTATCTTTGCCGATGCATTGGATTATAGCTGAGGTGTTCTTTGATGAGAGCACTCGCTTCTCCTCATCGTTGAGTGCAATGTTATGCTCTTGAATGGAGTGAGCGATGAATGATTTGGAGTAACCGAAAGACAATTTACATATAAAGCACATTAAAATAGGTTTGACGGGCACTGTCTGACAATTGCTCGCACTATTGGCCGCTGAACTCTCCGAATGGTTCACACGGATTGTGTTATTATTGTCTTTATTTGAAAAGTCGGTTCCACTAAGTTTAGTGACATCCGTTTGGTCAGACACACTGTCCACACACTTAGGATTATAGCCGTCCTTAAGTGTGAAGACCCGGTATGAGTGCATAATTGGAACTTCAGGAACTTTATTCTCTTGTAGTAGGCTTTGATAGGCCTGACCGTACAGAGCACTGTATAGAGCGGCCGCCGAACTTCGGGATATATGAAAGGCTGACACAATTTGCGGAAAGACAACATTGTTTTGGCCATACGGTGGTGTCATACCCGCGGCATCTATTATACTGCCCTCTTGGCTGATCTCTGCTTCTACATCACTGGCATCCGAGTCGGGTCCTTCAATAATATAGGCCGACCCGTCGGGATTGTAGACTATCTTTCCCATGAAATTTTCGACATCACTTAAGGAACTAACACTTTCATTGTCTGCACTAATTTTCGATATGACATTTTTATTATCTCCTTTAGTCGACATTAATGTCGTCTCTTTTTTCGGTGACTTATTTATAAAATTAATCGCCTGTCCCTTGACTGGTGACAGTTGTGGGCCACGACAGACCTGTCCCGTGTCGAGGAATGGCGATGTAATGTTGCTATTTGTGCTAATAGTGTTCACCATTGATGTATCATTGGCTGCCATAGTAGTGGTTGCCGTCGACTCCATTGTTTTAGTAATAATGTATATTTTGCAGAGATTTGTTGACTTTAATAAATGGTAGTCACCGTAGGATACGTGTGCAGCCAAACGACATGACAGACTTGACACACATGACAGCTGTAGTGATCACTGGCTTTGCATCTTTGGTTGTCATTAGCTTTCTATTGATTTCAATTACAGATAAATACGGAAACATTATATTTATGATAACAACTTTTATTATAATAATTATAATAATTTTTTAACAAATAATTTTAGTTTAAAATTGTATTTTTTGAAAAATAATAATTTTAAATGAATTTAATGTTAGACACAGTGATTGTAATAAACAGTTTTTTTGTGAAAAAGAAATATTTTTCAACTAAAGAGCTCTCAATGAATTGTATTATGAATAGACTGCTATTGGCTCTGCAATGTTGGGAACGGTATTTGGCTTTAAACAAATCAAACAAATGAATGGCCGATTCAATGTGGCATTAGTTGATCGTCAAAGGAGTCTTAAACTCAATAAAGGAGTGCAATCAGTGGTAAGGATTTCTCTCTCATTTTCTCTTCACTCTTGAGGTCAATATTCGTATTCAACTATTCATTCATAAAGAGTCACAAATAATGTTGTTTTCTATACAACAGTCCGTAACCCACGCCAAGGGACTCAATGCTCAAGAAATGTGTGGCAAATCAATGGTATTGCTATATATCTGTATTAATATAAAGGCAACACAAGCCTTCACAACCTCAACCTTGACCAGTGATGGATGGCTACCACCGCTGTAACCAAATAACTATACTCTTGTATACTGTTTGTTATATATATAAAGAAAGAAACAGAGCTAACAGTGAAATAAATATGTTGTTAAAGTAAACGCTTTTATATAAAAAAAAGCAAAGAGAGAGAGAGAGAGAGAGAGAGACGGATGGATTGGGTATAAGTTGCCTGAAGGGTATAACACAGTGTTATGTGTGCAACAAAATAATCACTTAAAAGTGAATCACAGTCTTGTTTTATTCACACATTGATATATATATAAAAAATAAAAACTATAGTCGTTTGGCACAGACATGAATTGTAGGGCTAAGTGGGCCCAACTCATCCATATGATAGTGGTTTTAGATGAGTGTCAAACAGTAAGATATTCTTTGCGAGACATTACAGACATTGTAGTTTTCTGAAAGATTTGGTGCCACAATCAGCATCATCTACAGTGCATAACCTCCTATTTTGTGGCGCACAGCCCATCACTGCCTTTACCTTACAATCTCAAAGATTTAGTTTACTTTTCATTTTCATTTAGATTGCTATTCAGATTCAAACTTATGAAACAAATTACAGACAATGACAACGCAATACACAATTTTTTATCTCTTTTTATTATTTAGAAAAATTAATACAACAAATGTTTTAAATTAATAGCAATTAGACGGTGCACTACAATAATGACAATATCTCGATTTTGAGTAATTTTTCTAATATTTATAAATTAATAGACTTTCGTGTAAATTATAATAAAACTAATAAATATTTTTGTCGTAACAAAAAAATAGTTACTAATCAATAAAATAATATAACTAAATGTTTATTATAAAATAAAATTAGTGAACTAATATATTTAAAGTCCGGTAAAAAACTTGATTGCCTTTTGGACTAAAAGCGACTTAAAATAACTTTGTTTATAAATGCAAAGTCATAGAAGTTAGAGAAAATAGTCATTAAATTTAAAACTTTACTTAAATTTTTAAGACTTGTATTGAATTTATGTTTTGGTGGTATAACTAAAATAAAGTAAAATTTTCTCACTTTATACCAATAAGTACATCGAAACAACAACTCCTAAAATGTCGTTTCAATGGCCACAGGAGTTGAGCCTAAATATCTCTCGAGGGATTGTAAGGGGGCTCCCAATGAGGAGGGGGTAGCTTACTAAAGGAGAGGACAAATATAAGCAGAAAGTTTCATCAAGAAAAAGAAGTGACACATACAGCAGGGGTGCAACTTATGGCCATTATATTGAAGGGCACACCTGAGTTAACTGCATATATATGTGAGTATATATACACTGCAATACTGGGATACCTATGTTAATGGGGGGATACAATCAGGATTATCATTGTGAACGTTGGTAGTAGTGATGGTGTATAATACTAATTCCCCAAAGATTGGACGCCCCCAATACCGTCCCTCTCTTTCTGCCAAAGCCTTGAGGCCAATGTCTGAAACACAACTTTACTTCTCTTCTCTTACTTTTTCTGTTTCTCTCTTTTCATTCTTTAGTTTATTTTCTATTATGTATTCAATTCTTTCTCATTTGCCATCTCTTCTAATACTCTCTCTCTCTCTCTCTCTCTCTCTCTCTCTCTCTCTCTCTCTTCCCATGACAGCAATACTGAGAGGACAGACACGACTCATATTTTAATGCCCTTCATTTCTCATATACATAGTTGATATATACATAGATTTTAGGCATAAAATTTTCTGTTTCGCCAACGATTAGTGAGAGAGTAGTGGCAAACAATTATCATTGAAATCTTAAATACAAAAGATCTGTTCTTTAGAGAGCAATGGGTTTTAGTACGGAATATATGCATAGAGTATAGTCCTGAGCACACCTGGGCTTAAAAGTTATAATTGAATATCAGTTTTAAACGCAAAAATGCAAACAAACATAAAAAGCTGATCCTTAAAAATGAATGACATTACTCTACAAACAGATTAACATCTTTTAAAAGATATATTATATTAGTTGAAATCTTTTATGAATTTTTCTCCGACTTTTCAATTCATTTATATTTTGCAAAAATTTTAGTTTTACTTATTTAAAGTGAAGTTTATTTATAAATATATTTTATGATAAACATAAATGAAAAAATATATTAAGAAAATAAGCAAACAACAAATTTTTTAAAAATAATCAAAAAAAAATATTAATATATTCATAACTGATTTGCAAATACAAGACAAGAGTGAATGAATTGTCTGAAAATAATTTATTCAAAACAAAGTGCCGTTTTTACAGACAAAATGAGTCAAATTCTATGTTTTAAAACACAAACAAAATGAACAAAAATTATGATTACATTAGTTTACAAATACCAGGAAACAGAGGGACCGGTAATTTGGTATTATTGGTCTCTCTCTCTCTCTCTCTCCCTATCTATATATATGATGTGATGTCTGTCTTTTACAGACAATACAGAACTAATTACAACAACAATAACAAGTAAAACATCGACTAATATAATGAGAGAATACCTAATATAATGGAATCAATGGACGAACAATAATAAAGCAAAGGCTCAGCCAATTCTGGCATTAATTAAGCGATTCTAACAAAAAACATTCATTAAGTCGAGGAAGTAGTCACGCTATTAACCATATATATATATATATATATACAATATACGGTACCTACTATACTACCAGTGCTGCACATATACAGTACATACAGCCTAAAGTCGAGATGTTGGCTCAATATTATAAAAAACTAAATACTAAATAGATATAAAACAACTACTGATTCTATGTATACAACACCACATTCGAGAGCTAAGCACAGGGAGAGTGAGTGAGACAATAACTGCTGTTGTATTGCTTGTGCTTTTTGGTGCTAATTATCTCTCATTAAAGCTTTTCAGACACAACTGCATATTAAGCGGAGAGAGAGAGAGAGAGAGAGAGAGCTTTGTTTAAGCAAAAGATAATAATTAAACAAAAAGGGAATTTCCCACTCATTGTAAGCACTGTTCTATAAAAAAATTTAAGCAAAGCATTGATATATACTGTATATAATATACAGTACTTGTGTTTTAATGGTTAATGTTATTTGGTTTTGTTAAATGCCGTGAATAACAACAAATGCATTGATAAACAGATAATCCATTTTAAAACACATGAAAACTATTTGAAATAATGTCTCGAAAGCATACAATGAAATACATTAAAATAGTATATTTTGGTTCGTTTTTTAGACCAAACTTTACTTTTTAAAAATATTTTATGTTTAATATGAAAACTTGTTTTGTGTGAATTATTGAAATCAGTTTATTATAATAAATTATATTTTGGTTGCTATTATATCCATTATTGATGTCCTCTAAGCTCTGCTTTTCTTTTGTGTTAATATTTTAAAGTTTGCATTTAAATAGTTTTAGAGAGTGTTGTGTTTTGTAGACATTTGCTATATGTGTCGCAAATGCTTATATCAATTGTTCAAATTATATAGTGATTTAAGCATATATGGCATACTTTTTGCATAGCGATTGCATTATTTTGTGGACGAATTGTTAAAGAGAGTGATATATAAACTAAAGATGTGAGCGTTCAGTGTTGTCGATCCCCTTGTTTTTCAGTTATATACTATAACTGAACAGTAAGTGTTATCCCTATCCCTATCCCTGTTAGTGATTGAGACCCCTATGGCTTGTCTATAGCTCATACTTTTCAAACATAATTAGTTATTCTAAAATCACTGCCAAAGAAATGAAGTAAAGGTATGAATTGAATTCGGGTGCTATGGATAAGGGGATGATGAGGGGACTGGGATCAGTAATAATAGAAATACCAGTGTAGAGAGCATACATGAGCATTAGCTCAATGGCCAGTGCTTTATGATCGTGGGAACCCATTGCCCAACAATACTAACAGCTTTACTATAAGTTTTACACTCAATTCTCTGTCCAATCAAAACCAGTGCACCACTATTTGCGACATTATTTCGCACCTTTAGTTAAACAGTAATCACCGTCAGGTTCTCGTCATACCATGAAATTGTCATTCCTTATGCGCCCCATTCCCCTAATGCCTGTAATATATGTTCTGTAGAGTCCAGGTGTGCAGTTAAGGGTCATATTATTGCTGAACTAACACCAAACCAATGGTAGATAACAAGGCCTACGAGGAGGTCTTTCTTTTATTTCTCACAAAAATAATATAATACTGTATTTGGGATGAGATGTGACTCACTATACAACACAAACATTGCTCTCTATTTGAACGTTTCGTTTCAAATACCAAAAGATTTACTGATTTACTGTCGTTTGTATTATTCTTAAGAATTAACGTGACTTTAAATGTACAAAATGTACAAAAATGTACAAAAATGTACAAAAATGCTAAAATACTACCAAACCTTATGCTATGCCTTGAAAAGACAAATGCTTTTCAACC